ATTCCGAAATTAGGAAAAACAGGTCTTGTTTCACACCGGGTGAGAATAGCCAACGCTGGCAAGTCTCACCCGGGGTGAAGATAACCACTTCCAATGTCATTGGTAGCGTCAATTTCCACAGAGTGAAGCGGTGTCAAGTCTGAAAACAACGTTCTATGATCTATCTTAAGTTTTCTATTCATAATGTGTTACGAACACATAAAATGAATATTAGATCTAACCCCCTCTCATTAGGTCTAGTTGAGAAGTCATGACGAATAGTTACTTACACACATTCCTGGGTTCGAAAGGAAATAGTATAGAGGTCAATTACCAAATGTTTTGTTCTCAAATTCTTCTTTTTACCTGCACAAATGGTATTCAAAACTATCTATAAACTTATTTTTTTAAGGTAGTCATTTTGCATTGAAATTCAAGTTTATGAAAGTGCTGTCGTTATTCTCACCCAGGGTGAAAATAAAAATACAGTCGAACCTGCCCTGGCGGCCACCTGTACAAACGGCCACTTTCCATTTCCTACCTTGCGTTTTTTCTATTTAATTTAACTGTGTAAAACGGGCACCTGTCCAACGTGGCCGAGGCCACCATATTTTAACACACAACCCCTATCACACCAAACAACAACTCCTGTCTTAGACGGCCACCTTAGTGACTCCATAATTACGGTTTGTCATAAATCGTGCATTGGCCCCTGGCGCTGTGGGCGAGCCGTCATAATCCAATCACCTGTCGTTGTTGTTAGGTAGTCTCTTCAAACGATCATGTTGTGTTGCCCCCTCCCATTGTTGACCAGTAGGTAACAAATTTTCAGCTGCTAATGAGGTAAGCGTGTGATCCCTCATAACCCATGCCCCGCCCAGAACTCATACACAAATCGTACGTGAGATGAGTGGTCACTGTTTACCCAGTCTGTAACAAAGTAACAATGGACGTCAGCATGAACTTGTGACAGAAGCGTAGTTCGCCTTTGGTGAAAAAATATTCATCTATCTAGAATAGAAGTCAAAATATTTGTTATTGAAGGAGGTCGGGGTCGCCTGATTTCAGAAGTAAATTCAGTGAGAAAATGGCCGCCAAAGTTTTATGTGACTTCCATAGTTCGAGAGTCCATGGAAACTGAACATTAAATATTCTTGTTCCTTTAATTGTTTTTCTGTAACATCCACTCAGAAATGTGTTTTTAAAGGGACATAAAAGGTGTTGAGCCAGAAATAGAAAAGTTGAAAACATTTCCCAAACTGACAAAAAAATGCAGATTTCTCGGATTTCATTATTTTGACGAGTGCCTGATTTCATCACGATGCATCACATATGCGTACAGCTTTCCCATACGCATATGCATACGGCCCTCCTGTACATTTAGCCTCTTTGCTGTGCGTACGGCCCTCTTTTAGTATAGATTTAGATCTAATTAAGTGTATGCTCATGGACTTGATTATCGCTCAGGTTCGGCCAGACAGCATCACTTTATCAATCGATATCTTGACCAAGAGACGCTCTACGAGGTCAAGATAACTTGCAAAGTCACTGGTCACTATTTATAACTTTCACCTGTAATTTACTACGTCATTTTTCATAAAGTGTACTAAAATTTTCCATTGAAAAAGGTCAGCATCTATGCCCTTTACATAGGGCCTGCACGCTTCCCGTTCAAGTAGGTCAGACCTATATATATATTGGTCCTGCGTGCTCCCCGGGTAGCCCGGCTCACACCCTTTATATATGTATAGGGCCTGCGCACTTCCAGGGTTAAGTTTGTTGTGTCCGGCTTGGTAGTTTATGTGCCTCCTACAAAGCCTAGCTTATTATGTGAAGTGGAGGGTCATACACATAGCCTCGATGCTATGCATACGGGAGGGCCTTATGCATAACCACGAGGCTATGCGTACGGGAGCCAAACACATAGCCACTTCGAAAATAAAAATAATGTATCATGCCCTTCTCAAACTAATCTGCTAATCTTGTACACATAGCCTAGCCACTTACAGTGGGTGTCATATCGACAAGAAGTCGGCTCTAATGAGGCAATCCTTAATCCTCGATTTTTTTTCCTCTATATCTCTTTGTAAATGTACTTCAGCTCCAAAGAGATTGCAAACAGACGGAAGTCGCTTTCAACGAGGTCGCGATAACCAAATAAAAGCAATTAGCAGCCCAAAAAACGAAGAATTTTTCTTTCTCTCCATCTCACGCGAAGCACAAGGCCAATCCTCGATTCCTAACTCATTGTATTGTTAGATCTAGTGTGCCGATCCTAATATGGACCCCAAAGCCAAGAAGATGGGTGAGGGTTACCCTACGGTAAGGGTGGGAGGGGGCAGGTGGGAATACGATGTAGGCTGTGTGAAACTGGATGAACTCTGGATGGGTAGGTCTAGATCGAGACCTTTATTTTTTTCTATTTTCTTTTCTTTCCCTGATCTGAAAATCCAAGCTCCTGCCTTTACTTTATGTTAGATCTGGGCCTAGATGTGAGAAGGTATTATGTTTCCAAACGATAAGTGTTCCAGGAAAAAAATATTTTAAAATGCCGAAATGACAGTCAGAACACAGCTCAAACACGTGCACACTGATGCTGTTTGAGATTTTAATTTCTGGTATTGGTACATCATGTTATATAATTTGTCTCTTTTCTTTAGCCTTGGTCATGTTCAATGAGAGGTCGGATTCAACGAGGACAACAAGCCGATCCCGGCTACCTCGTTGAATGCGACACCCACTATATTCTCCTTGTATTGGCAGCACAGAAATATACACACATCAGATCAACATGAATGCATTGTTGTCGTTCTAAGGCATATTTTTATGGGAATGGGGTAGGAACATATCCTCTAGACTCAAATAACTTTGATATTATAATGTAATTGAACATTTGGTTGAATTCGTTAAAGTGCATCAAGTTGATTTTATAATGATGACCCTTTTTTCCCCCCTTTGGCAACAGATTTGTATTCATTCACATATAACTGTACAGAATGGACACATGTATTATATCAGTTGAGTTATCAACAAGCCATGTTCAATTTTTTGTTAAATTGAAATGATTAGTGTGCATAATTGAGAAATTTGCATATATAGTTGAACCTGCCATGACAGCCACCTGTGCAAACGGCCAGTTTCCATGATAAAACGATCACCTTTCCACCGTGGCCACCATATTTTATCACACACCAACCAATAAAACCTGTGTAAGATGGTAATGAATTAATAGGTATATTTGTCCCGACAAGCCGTCAAAATCCAATCATCTGTCATTATTGATAGGTAGTCCCCCCAACCGATCATGTTACGTAGGCCGCTCCCACTGTAGGTAACAATAAATTTCAAGCTGCTGGTGAGGCAAGCATGTGACCCATCATAACCCATGCAAACACTATGCTATCCCCTTGGTCAGCCAGTGAGTGAATCTTTACCTGAAGTTTGATGATTTTATGGTTTATGAGTGTGAAATTGATGGGTGAAATCAGACAAGACAAGGAATTGGACAGAATTAGAAAATATTGGAGAGTTTCCTACAAAGTCCAGTGTCATGTCTTTGGCAGTGGCCTCTGCAGAAAAAATTGGGGCCTCGTGATGAAGATGCCCCTTTTGAGTATAATTTGTGGTTAGGGCAGCTGTCCCTACCGCTTAGTCTGATTGAGTTTGGGGTTTCATAACTTTATTACTTTATTTCAAATAGTATGTTTCAATCCTTAGACTTGCACATTTTCTAATTTAAAAGTTCATTAGAAAAAAATTAACAAAATGACCTTTTTGGGGGGTCAAATGTGTTTTAAAAAAATATGGAATTGAACCTGTTGGGCAACATTCATATCCAAAAATGTGCAATGAATTAGTTATTGTAGTAAATATATATATTTTCCAATATAAAAAGTATGACCCCTAAAAAGGGAACACAAAGTACTCTTTGATGTAAACCATCGAAGTACAGGGAGGGTAAACTGTTGGTCGCCTCAGAACTATCTTGTCCAAAGTGTACTTATGTAAAAAGTGCCGTTTGGATAAAATAATTCTGAGGTGATGCGTTGAAGATAAACTACCAGTACTACATACAGTCGAACCTGTGTAAGATGGCCTCCCATTGTCAAGGAGAGAAGTGGATGTATAAGACAAGTGGCCGTCCTGGGCAGGACTGATCAAGATGAAGAAAACAAACCATTCCTTTCTGTGGTCCCAACCGAAGGTAGCCGTGTTGTTGTTTTCGCTGGGTTTTTTTTGTTGTTGTTGTTGTTTTTTTAGCTTTTTAACATTTTGTTGCTGCTTTTGTACAAGTGTGACAGTAAACTGGAGTGTTTCAGACAAGGAGAACCGTTTGAGTGCCATTGTGAAACAAACACGTATGGGTTGCCACCACTCGGAGAACGAGCGATGCTTCTGTCACAAAGTTCATATTGACGTCCATGATTGCTTTGTTAAAGACTGGGTAAACAGTGACCACTCATCTCACTTACGATTTGTATATATTAGTTCTGGGCCGGGTTTATGGGTTATACGGGATCACACACTCACCTCACCAGCAGCTGAAAATTTGTTACCTCTTGGTCAACAGTGGGAGGGGCCAAGGCAACATGATCCGTTGGAGGGACTACCTAACAACGACAGGTTTTGGATTATGACGTCTCTCCCACAACGCCAGTGGCCAATGCACGATTTATGACAAACCGTAATACAGTTCACTAAGATGGCCGTCTAGAACAGGTTTTATTGTTAGGTTTGATAGGGGCTGTGTGTTAAAATATGGTGGCCACGGCCGTGTTGGACAGGTGGCCGTTTTACTCAGTGAAATTATATAGAAAAAACGCAAGGGGGGGAAATGGAAAGTGGTCGTTTGTACAGGTGGCCATTTTATAGAGGTGGCCGTCGTTGCAGGTTCGACTGTATTTGCAAGGTAGGTTGTGCAATCAGAAAAATATTTTTTTCTATTTTAGAATGATTTTCTGTTTTGAACTACTATTTGGCTTTGCTTTTCTCATTCTCATGTGTGCTTTGTCTTTCCCCAGAATCTTTATAATGCCTGTGACAAGAAATCAGTCCAACGCAGCAGCAGCTCAGGCTCGCACGGGCAATGAGGCTGGGGAGGGCAGCAGCTCTAAAAATGAGGCCGCTGGGGGTGAGGGGGAGGGCTCTGGAGAAGGGGATGCCTCCCGGAGGGACTCTCCCGACAACTGCTCCATCTGTTTGGGACCTTTCAACAACAAATCATTCACCAGCAGCTGTGCCCATTCGTTTTGCTTCGTTTGTCTGAAGCAGTGGTCTAAGGTGAAGGCCGAGTGCCCGCTGTGCAAGCAACCGTTCACCAGCATTTTCCACAACATTCGCTCCAACCAAAGCTATGACATCTACGACCTACCTCTTAACCCGACTCGCCAGCCAGAGTACAATAATTTCCTCTCTTACGGCAGCTTTGCATCTGCAAATCCATTCCCTTTCTTCATGCCTGGCCCCAGTCTAGATGCTGACCTCACCCTCAGCAACTTCAGCCGGTTTCAGTTCCGACACAGACGAAGTTTTCACCCCAGCAGCATCAACGCTGAGCATCAGTATTCGTTCCAGACCCCTTTAGTAAGTCCCGCTACTCATGTGTCAGCTGCAACATGGCCGCGCGGGGCCGATGACTTCCGACGTGAAGTGTACCGCCGCTACTTGGGCCCTCCAGCTGTTGTGCTGGGCACGGAAAACAGCAACTACATCCTGACCCCGGCTATGGTCAATGCCAGTGCTCACCGCTTACACCGCATCATGCCCTGGCTCACCAGAGAACTGCGGGTTTTAGTCCGTAGTCATCAAAATGTTCGCTCGGCCATTGGCATCATTCAGCCACTGCTGACTCAGGTCATGATAGATAGCCAGTGCTTCAGGGAGCGCGTGGCGCCTTACATTGGGCACAAGAGTCAGCAATTTATCCAGGAGTTTGTGGCCTTTGCTAACAGCGCCATGAACGTGCAGACGTATGACCGCAAAGCCATGTATCGTCGACGTGACCACACAACGATCACTTTCGAAAGCTCTTCCAACAGCAGCACGGACGATGATGTGGTCGAGGTGACGGATATCAGTCCCGAGACGCCCAGTGCCAGCTCCACGGCCCCACCCCCACCACCCGTGGCCACGCGGCCGGTTCCCACTCTGTCTAATTTGTTGCAGAGTTCAGGCTGGGACTCGCCCACCCCTGGCCCCTCTTGGGAGAGTGTTGTCACCAGTACCCAGCCGGCTGGTACTCAAGAGGATCGTGTTTCTGTCAGTTCAGAGGGCGAAGATGCTGTGTTTGTGCCTGCTTTGCATGCTTCTGATTCTGACGACTCGAAAGCGGGCAGTGACATTGTTTTTGTGAAGTACGATAAACCGTGGAATGAAAGATCACCCATTAATCTGTCTTCAGACTCTGATGGTGAAGATGGACCGAAAGTGAAGAAAAAGAAAAAGTCAAAGCACAAGAAGAAGAGAATGCCATCTCTGGGATCAGACGCAGAAGTATCTAAAACAGAAAAGGGACACAAAGCTTCCAAGTCAAAGTCTAAGAGCCGAGACAAGTCAGTACCAACATCAAGGGCTTCAGGAGAAGAGCTTGAACAGGAGACATCGTCGGGTGTAAGTGTCAGCAAAAGGCGTTTGTCTGCGTCCTCTGTTGATAGGCAAAAGGCCAAGAAACACCGTAAGTCAAAAGATCGGAGGGACCGCCACTCGGGCCATGACAGGGATCGTGAGCTAGTAGACAAGTTGTTTGCTGAGGCGATCTTGGGTGGCGCACAACCTGGAGTCAGCACTGATGCTGACAAGCCAAGCAAGTCTTCTGAAAAGTCCAAGAAGAAGAAAAAGCACAAGAGCCGTAGACAGGAGGATCGAAGTCCTCTCCATTTACAGACCTACAAGAAGCACCCATCAGGACACAAGAAGTCAACTGATCCCAAACGTAGTGGTAGAAATCCAGGTTCGCATAACAGCGGTGACAGGGGAAGAAGTCGGCACCGAAGTGGTTGTGCGGAAGGAGATGAGGTGTCCTCGGTGTCTGAAACGCCACTGTCTTCGTCCCAGAGAGGTGGTGCTTACAGTCGTGACACAGCTGTGCCTTTGAACCCTCCTCAGCTTTCTTCTTCAGGCTTCAGTCACTCTGTGAGCTCAAGTTTCCAGGCGCCGTACATGCCCATGCCTGACACCGTGCAGCACATCCCGCTCAACTTGTGGGTCAGCACCTGGCCCTCACTTCCCGTCTCCCACACATACCCCCCTCCCCCACCCGCCCCGCAGGGTTTGTGTACATCCCCACCACACAACGCCAATGCAAGTTCCAGTCTGGCAGGACCTAGTCGCCCGGCTGGAGACTCTCACACTATCTCCAGCGACTCTTCCTCAGATTCTGATGACTCGGATGACACGCAGGACTACCAGGATGCGTCGACAGAGAGTTCTAGCTCTCACACACAGCAGTGGATAGAGAAAAATTTTCCCTGTATCGGAGCGTCTTCGTCTCAGTCTGCTTCGGCAACAGCCACTTCCAGCTCTGTGGCCACGGCGCCAACTGTTGCTCAGGCTGATACATGTGCACAGAGCAATGTGGCGGCAGCACAAGCTTCTTTGAACGGAGGTCAAGCTCATAATACTGTTCTGGACAAAAGTGACGAGTCGCTCAACGTTGATGTCTTGTCAGTGCCAAGTGACGATGAGGATGAAGATGTCGTCATCTGCAGCAGTGCGAGCAGCGATAATTCAGACAATGACGAAGATGTTAAGGTGGTCGATGTGGAGGAAGGCGCCACAGCAACAGTGCATCCCAATCCCTTGTCCTCTGCAGCCACCGCATTCGTAACCAGTTTTTCCCCACAGTCTTTAGCTCAGACCTCAGCCAGTCACCCAGTGTCCATGGAGAGTGTCTACACCCCACAAGCATGTACCTCTAGGAGCGCCTCTGCTTCTTCCAGGAGTACATCTGCCTCTCGAGAAGTGGGCAGGTTCCGACCCTTTAGACTGTACAGGAAGAATGCTCCGACAAAGCAGCCCTTTGATCGCTTCTTTCCTCCCATAGGTCCTAGCTCTGAGGATGAGAGTGAAGACTTTTTGTTGCGAGGCAGCTCTCCCTCTAGTAGCAGTGCTGCTGAACAATTGTCCAGTAGGGATAGTGAGCAGAAGGATGAGACAGTGACTAGTGGCAATGAACCAGGACAAATACTAGCAAATGCGGTCAGTGTTTCTTCTACAGTAATTTCAAGTGTTTCATCTCCTGTTGCAAGCACTGTTCTCAGTGGGAGTCCTGCTCTTTCCTCAGGGAACTTTCAACCATCTTCATCTTCCTCCCCACAAAAAAATGCCAGTTGTATTGAGGCAGATGTGGATACCCCAAGGTATGCACAAGTCTTTACAACTTCTGAGTCAAGGAACACATTATTTTCAGTATTACCCCCTCTCCAGGCACCTAACCCTCCCCCTGTCACTTCAGTGTTGTCATCAAGACTGAGCTATCTCCCTTTCAGTGGCATGCAAGTGTCTTCATCGCTCAGTTCCATCATGACCCCAGCCTTGCCCTACAGAGTCCCACAACCTCCACCCCCACCCCCTCTGCCCATCCACTTCCCTTTCCCCCCTTTCCCCCCTAGTCTCCCCACACTGTCATCAGTGCTGTCCCCTTTATACCCAGCACTGACACAAACCAGTGCCAGCACTGGCACCACTCTGTCCACGGTTTCTAAACAAGACCATAGTACGATCCCCGAAGCTGCGACCAGAACTTCGGGTGACTTTGGTGAATTTACCGCAACACCGGCTACGATTGGAGAAGAGACTGCTCCTGCATCTTGTCAGCCTGTGGTTTCTGTAGCTGAGAAAAGTAGTATCTGGAACACAGATGGTGGGTTGTTTAACATCTTAGCTCATTCAGAGAGCAACGGAAATGAAGGTGCTGGGCCGGGTACGGATGCTCTTGCACGAACCCGTGAAAGTAGCAGGTGGGAAGACGGACAAGACTGCAGGCCATCTGTTGCCTCCAGCTCCCGGATCCCCGTGGAGGAGAATGAGAAGTGTGTCGTGTTTGATGCTCTGGAGTCAACTACTAATGGGTCTTCCCCACCTGGTTCTTGGTCAGTGTCTCAAATGTTACCTAGTGGTGGGGATGGGGAAGCAGATGAAGTGGACGATCTGAATGACACAGGCTCATCGGTTCCGCTGATGATTGATGAAAAATATGAGGCTAGCGATCTCAGCCTGAACACCAGCAGCCACCTATCGGAGGTTAACAGCCTTGGGGATTGTCAAACTGACGGCACTTCTAAACGCTTCGCTGCACACGAGGATACTGCTGACAGGGTGCTTAATGGAAATAACTCCTGTTCTGCTCCCAAGGCTGTACCCACGGACGACCATATCTGGTCTTCTAAAGTACCGCAGTCGGTCAGAAGGGCAAAGTGCTCGCTCAGTTCGTATGCGTCCCATAATGCTGATCAACAGGTGGAGAATATTTGGGATTCTACTTCAGGTGGTACAGAGACAATGGCAAATGGGAAGGAGCCTGTCGAGTTGTTCCAGAGTTCTGATGCTTTGTATGCACCACAACAGCTCTCAAATGAAGATGGCAGAGAAAGTGTAGGTTCAGCTGCTGGGAACCATAACCCGACTGATTCTTATCCTCTTCACATAGCCACTGACCAGCTAGGTGACCAGCATGAAGAGCATGAACTTGTTGACTTTGATAGACCCCAGTCATGTTCAGAAGTTCATAATCTCTCTCTGGGCATTTCGGACAACTCATTACAGAGTTTAGGAGAAAGTTCTTCTGTTTTGGATCATTCGGGCCAAACTGTGCCACAGTTCAGGGATGCTCTTGTGTCTCCTGATGTTACTGATGAAGGGGAGTGAAGTCCAGGAACCTTCCTTTCTATTTTACTGGATAGTATTGCATTTGCTATCTATAAGGAGAGTTCTGACACAAACATTTGTTTGGCATCGTGGTGAAATCAGGCACTCGTCAGAATAACGAAATTGGAAAAACAAATTGTTTTGTCCTTGGGCAGTTTTTATTGAAATTTTTGTTTAGGCTCAACACCTTTTATGTCCATGTAAAAACACATTCCTGCTTTGATTTTTACTGAAAAACCTTGATCAAAAGCACAAAAATTATTTTAATTTGCAATTTCCCAAGATACTACCCAAGGCTTTAGAAGTGGCCTAACTTTGGCGGCCATTTTATTGCTAGTTTTACACCTGACGTTGGGTGATCTAACCTCCTTCAATCGAAAATATCTAGAACCTCTGTTCAAGATATAAATGGGGATTTTTTTTCAACTAAAGCAAGGCAAATGAACTGGCTTTAAGATGATACCGTTTTAAACTCGATATATGCCCCAAAAAATTGACGAGTGCCTGAATCCACTGCGTTTTGACACATTTTTTCCGTTTTATATTAGAAGGAAAAAAATGAAGAAGACCCAGCTTTTTCGTTTAAATCAAATGCCCAGGTATAAAATCCTTCCATGGTTTAAAATTTTTTTTTTTTTTTAAATAAATATTTTTGTATCTCTTCAGTGAATCAGCGTCTGTGGTGTAGTGGTTAGACGCTTCGCTGTTGCACTCAGAGACCGGAGATCTATTCTGTGGGGAGAATTTTTTTGAGCATCTGTTTTCTGTTGGGATGGTGTATCCCGCCCAACCCAGGTTGGTTTTGACAGGCAGGGTTGTAAGCCTGCTTTCTAAATGATATAAATTGTATCGATGGGGGTGTAATAACGCCTATCATTTTTAAAAAAATGTCTTTATTGCAACAGCTTCAGGCTTTGCTAACTTTTTGGACCAAGGAGTGTTCTGACTAATTTTGTGCGTGAACTTTTTAAAATATTATAACACTTTTGTCAAATAGACTGTCAAGAGAGAAAGGTGTCTATTTAGTTGACTGTTTTGAGTTAAGCAGGTATATATGGGATGTTTAAAGTTTTGAGTAGGTGTAGCCATGAATATAAAATACATGGATAAAATGTGCTTTGTCATGTGAAATGTATTAGGACTTCTGAATTTTAACCCCTTTTTTGCCAGGAGGGGGGTTCCTACTACTGTCAGTACTGATTTTCAGCTAAGTTCATTAGCCAGGACAGTAGACTCATGTCTCAGTGCTAGTTGACTTGCTGTCTAGATCTGACCCACTCCTGGTCTTCAGTAGTGTCACCTTCCTTACCCTCTACTCTATTCTATATATATATTCCCTATATTCCTCATCTTGTCCATAATTTAGAAAAAAAACCTTACAAATCTTAGTCGAAAAATGGAACTTTCCGCCTTTTCAAAGTTATTTTGCTGTTTCCCTTTTTGCGAGAGCACACAGTTGTCCTTTAGACCAGACGTATGTTTATTGATCACTTGCAGTAATTCAATTCTTGCAAATTTAGTACTGATATATGCATTAAAAAAATTTTTTAATATGAATCCAGACTGCTTCTTGTGGCTAAACTTCTGTAAAGAAGAATTACAGCTAGTTGATTAGCAGGACATGTAGGGAAACAGGAAAGGAAAATTTGCTAACTTCTGTGATGTCCATGGTATATTAAAAATTACGCTTTTTCATGGCATACCAGGTACGTCTTAAAAGGTGTTGGCGTCAAAGGGGTTAAAAGCATCAGAACCATGTGGAGTTTTGCTGATTGTCCAAAATGTATTTTTCAGAGACATTTTTAGATAAAAAGTACTTTGTGTGTTCATAGTAGAAAATGAAAAATATTGTTTAACTTTATTTTAAGTTTTGTCATAAATTGTCTTGAGATGTTATTGTAAAATTTTCTAACACCAGTGTTTTGATATAATTTGATATGGCATATATGGTGAAAAAAGAATTGTTCATCTATGTTTGATGCAGTATCGTAAGTCCAGTGTATCTCCTCAAGGTCAGTGTGCTAAGCATGGTTGATATCATATATGTTTGAAAATGTGTGTGTGTCAGATAAACATCTCTGCCTTTGTTGATGTGATTTCCACTGGACTTTTGATCCAGTGTAAATCACAAATCTCAAGGTTTGCTCAAAATACTTCTCAGGGTGTCTTAACATAGGTCTTTTTTGTCAAGCTGCAGTAATTACCGAGCTTTTCTTAATCATTGCAGCTTATTCTTCTTCTCTCTACCTATTTTGAGTTTGTGCAGATAGAAGTAGATGTTCTTTTCCAAACTTCCTGTCAGTGATTAGCCTGTGTTTGACTAAATCTTCATTTGTCTGCTAATTAAAGTTTAAGATTTTAAGAGTACAGAGGTTATTTTGTTGTTAACCCAACCCATTTGTTTTTGCTAGCTGGTCTTCGTCGAACCGTGTTTCTCAACATTTGCAGGGAGTTCAAAGTTGTGGGTTTTATTGCATTACTCATCTCTCCTGTGAGCTTCACACTGAATTTTTTTTCCCCCTCAGTCTGAATTTAAGGAGAAAATTCTTTGGCTTCAGCATTTTTGATGCAGCACATGTGCACAAAGTGTATTAACATTTAACCTTTTGAGTTTTTGACTTTTTCAGTGAGATATCAGAATTTGACTAATGTCACTTTGTTAGTACATATTGTCCCATTGTATTGTCCTAACAGTTCATGGATACAGTACTAATGGAGCACTCTAATCTTTAATGTGTATCATTAAAAAAATATAACGACCTTGAACTGAGGTGGTGGTCCCAATTCTTTTTCTTCTCTCTGTTGATTCTGTTGTATGTCAGACGAAATAGGAACCAGAATGCTAAAAAAATATTTTTCACTGATGAGAGGGATCGAATGAAACAATGTACTGCCCATGATTTTGTTTAGCTTTTCTGTTAATGCAGAAACACAGCCTCAATTCTTCAATCTATAATTATTGATTTAACAAGTGGGCATTGATATACAGTGTACTGTTATTTCAAATTGTCAACACTGTGTCTTCGAACAGCGTCAAAGAAGGGTAGAGAAATAAGGCATAGTGTGGTCTTAAAACATGGTCTAAGGTATGATGGAAAAGTGCTTCCAGCTGAAGTCAGTGATGCAGGAGAAAGAGTGAGCAAGCCGGTATGGTGTAGACTTAAAAGAAATTGCCTGAGATTGTATGTTGCCTGTATTGTAGCTGGCAGCCAAGCTGAACCGATGTTATCTTTGTTTGAACCAAGGTTAAAAAGAAAGAAAGAAGACTGACTTTGCTTTTACCTTTCAAATGCCATTTTATAACGCAACACAGAGATTTTGTTTATTGCTTTGTTTTATTAAATGTTTGGGTTTCTGACTAATATCACTCACTTTTGTTTATCAGTGCAACTCGTATTTCTTGGGATATGGCAAACAAAAACCAGATGACCTGGTCCTGATGAGTTTGAAATGTTTGTATTCAACAGTAATCTGTGGCTGTTGAATAAGTTTTGTTTTTTATTTTGTGCCTACTTGTGGGAGAAAATGGATTGGTTTTAAGAATGAAGGAGTTTTTTTCTGTACTCACTCTAAACGAAATGATTTTTTTCCCTAGACTTCACCACAATGGACTTAATTTTTGTAAGTTGAGCAAAGTAACACTGTGAAAGTGGTCTTTTGGAAATGTGTTCTCTCTCCTGATTCTCTTGAAGTTTCTAGTCCACCTTCCAGATGGGAGCTTTTTTTCCTATTTCAAAAGAATCTGGTCATAAAAGATTGGGGGGGGAGAGAGAGGGAGAGAGAGCGAATATCTGTGTGAGAACAAATGGAACGGGTGGAGGAAAAGAATGAGAGAAGTGTGGGGGGGGGGGGGGGGGGTATAGGAAGGGGTTTGTTTGCCCAGACTGGCTCTGTTTCTGTTTAAATGGTGGACAACTGTGATTTTATTATAATTCAAGTTTGACTGTTTTCGTGAGTGCATGCATGCACATCTTTCTGTTTGTTCCTGATTTTAATGATTTCCACCCTTCATATAGTGAGTCTTTCATGCCTTGCCATTCACTGTACAGTTCCTTGTGTGCATTATCGCCTGTAAGTTGATGACTGAATTTGTGTGTTTTCATTTTACTTTCCTGTGAGCTCCACTGGCAGGTCCTATTTCTTTTCATCCCCTCGGTTGTCTTCTGTCTGTCTTGATTCTTCCCTGCGCTAAATGACCTTTGTTGTGTCGATGTGCTTCTTGTACTCCAACTCAAACTTTCCTGATTGAGATGTCCTGGTGCGGTCTGCTCTGTTTTCTTCCGCATTTTCATTGTCCTAGTCTTTTCTCAGAATGTTGACTGGCCTCTATGGTGTAACTGTTTGTTTGGCCTCTGCATGCTGATGACCTGAAGTTGATTACTGCGGGTGGTTAGCGGTGCTCTGGTGTGGTTTGCTTCTTGTTTTCTATCAAATCAAACATCTATCGTCCTTATCTCTCCTCCTTTTTTGTTTTTTACTTTCTTGTAACACTTCTAATTTACGGCACTTATGTATATGACCTTATTGTGTCTCAAGTGCCGTAAAACTCTTACAAAACTGAAGAAGTTGATTCCCATATTGGGTTAATTGTATATTTGTCTGCTGGTAAGTTCTACCCCTCTCAGGCAGAGTTGCCCCATACAGGCAAGGTCCAAGAAGCCAGCATGCTAAATGGTCTTTAATTCTGTGTAAAATGTCTATTAACTACAACTAATTGCAATGCAGTTATTATTGTGATTTTAAAATAGCTGTTGGCTGCACATCATCTTTTTCCTATATACATGTATATAGCATATGATGTTGCATGTTATTGTTATTTTTGTAGAGCAGCTTATTGCACGCTGTCCCTTCCAATCAGTTCTGATCTTATGCAGTCTTTTTTAATGAGTGGACTAGTATTTTGTTGTAAAGTCGCTTTCTGTTAGCCATGCTTTGATTCCTAGGCTTTTCTCTCCAAATCTCTGTGCTTGTAAAAAGGTTTAATGCCAACCTTGTGACACTTAGTTGCCCTGAAAAGGTTTGAAATGGGTACATTTGGGATGGCAGTTGACTTCTTAGACAACATTACGGTTGAGAGCTCTTTCCACTGCGGTGCAAAGTAAAAAAATAACACTGGAAGAAAGTTTTATCTCTTTGCAAGAATAAGCTTTAGGTTTCTTTTATCTAAATACATTGAAGTTCCTATGATTACTATGAATGAGTCAAGCCTGCTGTTGTATTTATTGTTCTGAAGTGCACGATGACTAATTTACATGGACATTGCAGCGCTTGTTCTTCATCATTGCAAAGCAACTTTTTGTTTTGATTTGGGTTGGGATTTTTTTGGGGGGTGGGGGGGATTTGGAGTGGATCTTTTCAAGTGCAGTTGACATTGTACATAAAAAGCCTGGCATGTTTTGATTTTATAAAAATCAAAATTAACCTCGTATGTTTATTTTTGGAAGTGAGGGCTGTCAGTTCGTTAAAAGACTCATCTTATCACTATGCTATTTGGCAAAGGCTGCTGTGTTGGTTTTTTGCTAAGTGTAAACAGAAGGTTATTTTGTTGATACAGCTTAATTAACCAGTGTTTCTATTGTCGTCGTGGTCTCCTTACTTGTAAAAGGAGGCCATTAGCTAGGTGGGTGGCTGAGTGGATGCTCTGGTGTGGTTTGCTCCTTCTCTCCTATCAAACGTCTATTATCCTTTTTCCTCCTTTTTTTCTGTATGGTACTCTAATGAAACACCTCGTAATCTTTGGCACTTAAATGACCTAATTGTGTTGCAAGTGCTGTTAAACTAATACAAAAGAACTTTTTAACAATCCAATGCTGATTCTGTCTGTAATGATCATAAAAGGTTTTGCACCCCTGTCATTGTAAATTAGCTGTGTCACAGAAATATTGATTTATTGCCCCTTTCAACGCTGTTGGGTTACTTAAGATGCGGCTTCAGCCCAGAAGCAAACCCAAGACTTTTGCATGAAGGGTAATAGTCATACCGGTACTTTACATAATAACAGACACCTATGGTAAGCCAAGCCTGAGAGGGGATCGAAGGAACCGACGTTTCCACATAGATACACATGAGATAGATGAGGAATGGTTGAAGTCTTTGAGTTATGAAATCTTCCGTGTCAACTTGGAGCCTTGTGACATAAATTCTGCTGCCGAAGACTACTGTTCCCCAGTTGGTTTTCTTGCTTGAAATCGAAAATTCGTCAGTTATGTGAAGCATGGACTTGTAAAAATTTTGTGATTGTATGATGTGCAGTAGTATGCTCATCAGTGTTCTGTTTTCCTATTTGAATTTTTCTAACTTGCTTGATAGAAGTTAATTATGCTATGCAATTAGAATAAGATAATTTTTTTTGGTTATTGTAGTGATTTTGGAAAGTTTTGCATATTTTTGTGCTTTCTTCATAGCTTCCTTGAGTTGTAGGGTAATCCTAAAAAGTTCTCAATATTAAAAAATGAATTGAGTTGTCACATTCAAGTGGTTTGGAAACGGCTGTCTCTCTCTCTACTCTTTAAATTTTGTATGCCTAAGAGCTCAGTGTTCAAAAGTGCAAAGAACAAACTACAGTGTAGTACAACCATTTTACATGTAGTTAAAAAAAGCCTATGTAACGATTATCTTGATGCCCCCTTTTAGTTGGAACCCCTCGTGGATACAGTGGTACAAAACAGAATTGCCTTTGTTGTTTCTGTCTGTTACTCTTATTTTATTACATTTTTTTTTCTACACTCAGCGATCATTATTGTGTCGATACACTTCTGTCACCAACTGAAACAAATTTATAAATGAAGACAGAAGTGCAAGTGCAAGTCTCATTTAAATAGTCATTCTTTTTTTTATTTTTTTATTGCCCATGAAGAAAAAATGCATTGTACAGAATCTAATTTCTAATGATAGGATAAATTTGCGGAATTTGTATTCCTCTGTCTGGGACCATCTATGATCAAGAGATTATGAATATTTTAACTCTTTTCCAGTCTTGTGCAGCAACAAAAATGCTGTTGTGGGTGGTCGAAGGGTGCTCAGGTGTGGTTTGCTTCTTCTTTCCTATCAAACATCTATTTTCCTTATTTTTCCTCCATGTTTTCTTTGTATGTTATTCCCTTCTAATCTTTGGCACTCATTTGACATTTGTGTTGGAAGGGCTATCACACATACAAATACCAAAACTAGGAATACCATTGTTTGGAACGACCCCAGTCATTTATCACCATTGATTACAAAAAACTGTTTGATTAAGAAACTATCAACGACATTTGGCCCTTAATTTAGTAGAAAATGAATTGATTAAATACATTTTTTTTGTACGGAGCTGAAGTACAGTAACCAATTAAGAAGTCTATAGATTTGTCTGGAATCATAATAAGCAGGGTCCACCGCAAAATGGGAGTTTCTTGAAATTCACTCACTGAAAAAAAATCTGATGTAGACAGTTGTCAAAGTCCATTTCTGTATTTCACTGTCAGTGAATAGGTTTATAAAACAGGAGACACGGTTGCTGTGGTAACTAACATTTTATTAATAAGTTTTAGGTTAGGGAACTGAAGTGGGATTCTGAGTAGTTCAAGTCTCCTGGCGGTGCTCTGGTATCAAATATCTATATCCTTCATCTCCCCTCCTTTTCTTTGTAATTACTCTTTAGTTTAGTAACACCTCTTATCTTCGAGACTTACATTTACCTACATATCTGATGCGAGATCTAGTGCCCTTCCTTCCAAATTACCAGAAATTTTATCTATATTTTATATTTGGTGTTTCACTACTTTCCATTAGACTGTGCTCACAGGCATGAGGATGTTTCTTAAAAGGTTACTCTCAAATGTAGAAAAGTGAGAGTTGGAAATTTTCGTGTCCTTTATTATGTTTGTATTTGCAACTGAAGGATTTCAGGACTTTGCAGTAGTGTACTTGGCTTGGCAGGCTTTCTCATTCCGATCCCTCTACTTTGTCATCTTTTATGATGTAAAGCGTGGAAGTCTGTTAAATGCTTAACACTATTGATTTTAAATCTGAACCGTTTCCCCATTTACGCAACTGGTCTGAACTAAGAAACGACAGAAAAGTACTAGTTTAAAGAATACAGTGTCGTTGTACTGCCTACTGCCTGCTATGCTCAGCGCGCTCATGAGCGTTGTACGAGAGAGTTTGGTTGAACTCACAACTTTGCCATTACAACAAGTCCATTGTAGCTTGAGCTGGACACAGATTTTTCTCTGAAGTGATTGTGCATGTGACAAGAGGAAAATTTGTTCAATACATCGATGGCTAAATTCAAGATTCTGACAAACGCTCTTTTGCAATTTGGCGTTTGTTGGAGTTTCGCTTCCAGCCATCATATTTTTTACTCTTTAGACTCCTATTGCTGTGTTGTAAGGCTGAAAAATCCACACATCTTTAACCTGTAATTATTAATATTATTATTACGTGTACATATTGAGGATGTAAAAACAGATATGTATTCAGGAGATGAAGGTATGGCAGTTTGTGCTCAAACTGCTCTTTGATTTTTGTTTGGATGCACCTCTTGCTTTCCTCGGAGTGCATCAACATGATTGTTTTGTTTATGCATGATTTGACAGTTGTAAGCTTTGAACTTCTATGGTTAAGAAATAATAAATTTGCCGGGAGTTTTGCCCGGTGCGCATTCATGATTGTGTTTTGCTCTGATTCTTGTAAATAGGTTTTTAATTCTTGGACATCATGATAACAAAATGTGGATTTTTAAAGGGAAGATTTCAACATTTTTCCTTT